CACACACACACACACACACACACACACACACACACACACACACACACACACACACACACACACACACACACACACACACATTACCGTCTGTCCTCCAATGAGCTCCGCGGTCATGGACAGTGATATGACCAGGATGGTGGCGGACCCCGCCCCCAGCAGCACCGCGGCCCCGTACACCTGCTGACCCATCTGGCCCTCCAGCAGCACCCAATAGGAGAAGGCCATGATCAGCAGCAGGCCCAGGAAGTAGGTGAGCTGGACCAATCAGGAGAGAGGCAAACCGTGTGACAGGTGAGATGGTTTGTTTACGTATCCCTCAGTGATAGTGTGGATCTGATGAGGAAGCACTCTGCTGACTACAGAGAGGTTAACCTGTCAGTCAACTCTTTGTCTGGCTCTGTTAATCTAAAGCTCTGAACACAGCGCATTATCTGTACAGATATTTAGTGAGAGTGTTGTACACTATTTAATACTGAGGAAGTAAATGGAGTCAACAGCATATTTCTTTATAGTCCTGATTGTTGCAGTAATTCATAAATTCTAGATTAAAGGTGAAAGTATATAATCAGACTACATTTTCGTTTTGTTTCATGGGAAAAAACATGTCTGTGTGTGTTACGGCTGCTGCCTTCCAGAGGCCTGTACTACGAAGCTGGTTCAACCTAACCTGGATATGTTTGAGTTAGCCGGTTGGCCTAATCCAAAACATACGCGCTCTCGCTAAACTGTACTACGACGCGGGTTATCAAGTGGATCGCTCAAGCCAGCTGTGCCGTATCTAGTTAGGTGCGCGTTCACATGAAAGAGGTGGTATTTGGAGCATTCGACCAATCACAAACATGGAGAAGCGTACTGACAGCGCAGCGTCATACTTCCTTGACAGTGAGGGTTTTAGTTACTATTTAGTTTATTATCTATTTCTTTGTATGTAAACAGGCTCCCTTTTTAGAGTCATCCATTTGTTTGGTTGTTCATTTAAACTTGCGCCCTTGTGGCCACTTTGTTTGTTTCAGGCTGCCTGCCTGCCATTTTTTTCACCCTGGTATAATAAAACCATTTATGATTATTACCAATTCCAATCTGGTGTATGTTGCTTTCCTCTTCCCCTAGTCGGGATGTAACAGTGTGAAAAAAGTAAATGATATTAAAAAAAAGTGTGTAGCCAGTCTTACTTACAGATTTTCCAATGAGTTTACTGACAGGCTTCATGATGAAGGAGGACAGGAAGCCACTCATGAACATCACTAACGGGATGGTGGCGATGAACTTCTGTTGGTGGGAGGAACAAAAAGAGATGAGAAACAGTGAGGGGCTGCTCCACGTTAGCATCACAATGAACTGGAATATATTGATATATATTTATAAAAAGGATGATTGGGGTGACTTTGTGTTTACCTTGGGCAGCCCCAGAGTGTTGATGAGATACATGGAGATGTATGTCTGAGACAGATTGACTATTAACCTGGTAGACATGTAGAGTAAGGCCACCTGCAGAGAGACAGGGACAGCTATCACACAGCCTGGGACTAAACAAAGCAACATGAGGAAACTTTCAGCTGCTGAAATAAAACACTGCTAGTTATTGTTTGCTATCCTGGCCCCATAATGGTGGAACCAGCTCACAATGGATATCAACGGAGGGTCTACACATCCTGAAGACTGAAAACCTGCTCTCCAATGTGTTGGAACTGAATGATCTCTTCTGTATGTAGCGCTCACAAAGGATTTGTCTGGAAGTAAAGCAGTAGCACTTCATCTGGTTGGGTTTACAGATGGAAATGTACCTGCAGAGTCCTTGCTTTAGAGTTTGTCTCTTCATAGCTGAATGCACTAAAAGCATAATGTAATGTAATAATCTAAAAACATCTTTCTGTCAGTCCAAACACAGAACAGCCGCTCCAGGTCCAGATGTTCCCACCTGGTAAAAAGAAGGCTGCTGCAGCCAACACTTCCACTGCAGCAGGGACGAGGGGGGAGCAGGGAGCAGGGGTCTGCGCTCCCCCTCCTCCTCTTCCTCCTCTTCCTCCTCTACACTCTTCCTCCCCTCCTCTCCTCCCGCCTCGCCTGCTGCTCCAGAGCTCTTCTCTTTGATTCCCAGGTGGAAGAAGAGGGAGAAGAGCGCCCCGATGCCCAGCACTATCAGCGCCAGGTTCTGAGATCACACAGGACAGGAAGGTTTGTGATGACATCTGTCTGTTTCACTTCCTCTGTGGGAGAGGGATTCAAAACATACTACCACTCTATTGCACAGAACAGTGGGAGGACAATGACTGGCAGAGGGTGAATATAGCACTAGAGTTATAGCGGGGCTTTGGTTTCCAAAACCGTCTCATATTGTTTCTCATAATGGTGAGGGGAAGTGGAGATCCAACCAGAGGCCTGTACTACGAAGCCGGTTCAACATAACCTGGATATGTTTGAGTTACCTGGTTTACCTAACCCAAAACAAACGCGCTCTCGCTAAGCGGTCATACGACGCTGGTTATCAACTCTTTAACTCAAGCCAGGGTTTCTCTGTCCGGCTGAGTGCGCGTTCACATGAAAGGGGCGGGGTTAGCAACATTTGACCAATCACAAACATGGAGAAGCGTACTGACAGCGCAGCGTCATACTTCCTGAATGAAAAGTCAACTATAATATTAGACATATGAAGAAGTTAAACTTTAAACATCCATGACTCAAACACTTTATCCAGGATAAAAGCCACATAGCTGCACCTGCAAGGTGAATACAGCTGGTAAAAGAAAAAGTGTTTGAATGCGTACATTAACAGGTTTATGATATCACTGCCCCGTCTAAGACACAATCTGACTTTAATTACATTTGTCTCGAGTGTTTCATCAACTTAATGTGTTGCTTAAAATAATACTTCTGCATACAGTATGTGACACTGTGAGTGTTGCACGGCCAGATACGGCTCAAGAAGCTGACTCAGATAAGGAAATATGATACATGTGATATGCTGTGATATGA